AAACTCATCTGCCCCCTGTTTAATATGTAATGCATATATAAATATTATATATATAAACATAAGCCTTAATTTAAAAAAAAAAATAATAAGAAAAAACAAATATATAAAATGTAATGTAAATTTTCCGTTTGTAGCTCCCTCCTTGAAAAGAAACAAAAATCAGCAATTAATAATAATATGCTTACGTGTGTATTTTATTTTAAAAACAAAAAAGAAAATACTTTTTGACTCTTTAGTTTTGTTTCATTATTTTTAATATTGTGTACTATGTATTTTAATGAAATATGTTTTATCTTATTATTTCCTAAATGTATAATTTTTTTTTAAATTCGCTTGAACAGTTTAATGTAAAGAAAATGTTGTAAACGGTTAGTTTTCTGCATAGAACAAGAAAAACTAAAAACAATGTGAAAAAATACATGATTTTGTTTTTTTATTGTGTGTAGTAGAGCTAATTAATATTAAAAAATAAAAAATAAATAAAAATTATATAGATATATTGCATTTTTATATAGCGACTTTAGCAAGAGAAATCAACAAACGAAATAAAGATAAATTTAACAATTGAACCGAAAAAGTGTAGAACTTAGCTTAATTATTTTCATAATTACTATTATTATTATTATCAATGCTAGAGTAAAATGGAAATAGATATTGGTATTGCGATATGATTTGGAATCCGAAATAAATTAAAATCTTATTTCAATGGATTCAAATACATTTTGGAAACGACGTAATTAGTATTTTTGAATTACGTTTAAAAACCATATATAGATTTATTTATTTAAAAGAAAACTTGATCTCTATTTTATCTAGTTTTGAGCCCTATATTATCTTTATGATCTTTAAAACATTGCCTGAAACTTAAAATCAGTTTTCCTTAATAGTTTTTGAGCAGTGTATGCTATCAGTTCAATGTGAACTATTTTTCCGGTATTTAGCATGCTGTTTGTATTTCATTTAAAACTTATTGAATTTTTTTTTATCTATTTATCAAGTATTAGTTGTATAATGCATCTGCCACTTTTCAGATATCATATTTTATTTTCATTTACATATTTTTATTTTAACTAAATTTTGAGTTTCATTTGTGAGCTGCGAAAGTGCCAGATTCAACTTTAGTTCGATCCAAGGTAATGTCTTTTGAAGCATGCAATTTGCAGCTTAAATATTGTAGTTCATAGATACCCTGTAGCTATATATCCCCAGTATACCCCATTAAGAAAATAAAAACTCAATCACCCCAAAGCGAAAGAATCTCGATTAACCAAATTATAAACTGAACTCATGGGAATAACTAAACGATAACATAATGGCAATCTAATATAAAACAATATACATACATGAATAACTAAACTGGTTCTAACTCTCACACACACATATTTCGGTGCTGGTTATGGCTAACACACACGCATATACACACATTTCTGCATATTCCGCTTTGCCGAAACTAATGCTGTCTCTTTCTCCTTTTACCACATAGGCCAGTTCACTGAGGATGGCTCGTTCATTGGGCAGTATGTGCCCGGCAAGCTACAGCCGCCGGTCAGTCCACAGCCGCTGAACAGCGCTGCTGCGGCACATCAGCAGCAGCCAGGCATCGCAGCTGAAGGCTCCAATGCAGCCGGAGCTGGCAGCAGCGGCAGCAGCAGTACTGGAGGGGGTGGGGCTGCTTCGACGAATACAGCTGCAGTTGCCACCTACGTCTAAGAGGCGTGGCAGGCAGGCGCCGCCCTAATTTGATTTCAATACGTGCATTCAAGAAGGAGAAAAAACAACAAAGAAACTACGCCCAACTTTATTAACTAATTCTTTCAGTGTGTATGTGTGACTGCGTGTRTGTGTATGTATGTATGTGCGCGTGTATGTACATGAAGAACAATTCAACTGCTTTAAGTGTCTGCAAATAAAAAGGAAAATGAATCACCGATATTAAAAATTAAAAAAATAAAAACGCATAAAATTTGCATTAATTTCGAACTTAGCTTTTTTTCATTTTTTTTCTTTTTTGCCTAAGAAATAGTTTGAAGAAAAAATGAAACTAACTTGAAAACACAATTTGTAAGCAACAAGTTTTGAGTGTGTTAACAAATCTGCAAATATATAAAAATTAATTAACTCGATATTGAAATTGTTGCACTTTTAAGAATGTATAACTAAATTCGTGTGTGTATTTATTTTGTAATATTCATAGTTGATTTTGCGAATCGAAGCACTAAATGTAATAATGTATTAGAACAGCTTTTATATTAATGTATGTCGTCGTATAACTATTGAGAATGTGCACAATTTGCCTATTTAATGTGGCACAACAATGCCGATCTTGCAGCCTTAAGATGTCAGGATTTTGAACAGCGTAGTGAACGATCCAAGAAGAAGAACTCAAAATGAATCTCTATTTTCAATATAAAATCAAACAAAGCAGAAAACGCGTTTACAGCCTGAAAGAACCAAGCTCAAACCCAATGGATCGATCACATTACTTTTAGCTCGAACTGTAGCGGAAATAGACTTAAAACTTGCAGTAATAGTCGAAGATTCTTTATAAACTAAATAAAACTGTTAATTTCATTATGTTGACCCAATAGAAAATTTATACCTAATTTCAAGCTGCGATAGCAGTAAAAAAAAGCCTGCACCGGCCAATATGCATCGCTCACTTCCGTGGACGAACAAACAATTTATGTAAAAACTATAAAATCAAAAACGAATTATAAATTAAAAGAAAAATGAGGAATTTTAAATGAACTTATAATTCAAGCAAAATTTAAATCCTAATTTTTTTTTTATTTGTATACTTTCATTTATTGTGCAAACATATTTCAACCGCAGAAATTTTAAATTCAATAAATTACAATTTAATACAAATATTTAACTGAATAAGTATAAGTCTTTGAAGAGAGCTAACAAAAAACTTATGGGTCCGCTTAAGCTTGCTGCATTTAAAAGAGATATAATATTATAGAAAAAAGATAAAACATGTATGCAAACCACATGCAAATTTAGCTCTGTGTATGTGTATTAGTCGAGTCAAATGATTGGTTTGTTTCCTGTGTTTTGAGCAGAGTATATCTACAACTCTTGGCGGTATAATCGCGTAACAAACTATTTATGCAACTTTTTGTATATTTTACAAATAATCAAGCAAACAAAGATAAATATGTGTTCAAAACCAGTAAATCGATACCGAATTATAGTTCGAAATCGGATAATTTGTTCAATTCTAGCTTAAAAAAAATGCGCCTGTACAAAGCAAAAATCTGCGAGCTGACCGAAGGGGCAAAACATTTTGAAAACCATGAACTTTATAATAAATGGAAGAAAACAATAAAAAATAAAAACAAAATATTATGCCACAGTGGAAAATAATTGTGACTTGCTGCTTTTTTCAGAATATTAATTATTAATTATTATAATATACTTAAGTTAATTGATTTTGTAAAACGTCCATAGCATA